GAAGGGAAGGAAACAGGTCCGTGACGTAGGAAGTAGTGAAGGAAGTAGTATAGGCAATCATAAAATGCTATGGGAATAGAGGGAAACAGGTCCGTGACGTAGGAAGTGATGAAGGAAGTAGTAAATGCGAGCAGTCCGGAGTGTGGGGACTGTTTATGACGATAAGATTAGGGTATCTGCAATCCTAAAATGCTATGGGAAGGGAGGAAAACAGGTCCGCGACGTAGGAAGTGGTGAAGGAAGTAGTCAAGGCGAGTAGTCCGGAGTGCGGGAACTGTTTATGACGATTAGAATAAGGTATCTGCAATCTTTAAGTGCAATAGGAAGGGAGGGAAACAGGTCCGCGAAGTAGGAAGTGGTGAAGGAAGTAGTCAAGGCGAGCTGTCAGGAGTGAGGGAACTGTTTATGGCGATTAGATAAGGGTATGGGCAATCCTAAAATGCTATGGGAAGGGAGGGAAACAGGTCCGTGAGTAAGAAGTGGTGAAGGAAGTAGTCAAGGCGAGCTGTCTGGAGCGTGGGAACTGTTTATGATGATTAGATTAAGGTATTTGCAATCCTAAAATGCTATGGAAAGGGAGGAAAATAGGTCCGCGACGTAGGAAGTGGCGAAGGAAGTAGTCTAGGCGAGTTGTCCGGAGTGTTGGAAATGTTTATGACAATTAGATTAGGGTATCAGTAAACCTAAAATGCTACGGGAAGGGAGGAAAACAGGTCCGCGACGTAGGAAGTGATGAAGGAAGTAGTCAAGGTGAGCTGTCCGGAGTGTGGGGACTGTTTATGACGATTAGATTAAGGTATTTGCAATTCTAAAATGCTATGGAAAGGGAGGAAAATAGGTCCGCGACGTAGGAAGTGGTGAAGGAAGTAGTCTAGGCGAGTTGTCCGGAGTGTTTGAAATGTTTATGACAATTAGATTATGGTATCAGCAAACCTAAAATGCTACGGGAAGGGAGGAAAACAGGTCCGCAACGTAGGAAGTGATGAAGGAAGTAGTCAAGGTGAGCTGTCCGGAGTGTGGGAACTGTTTATGACGATTAGATTAAGGTATTTGCAATCCTAAAATGCTATGGGAAGGGAGGAAAACAGGTCCGCGACGTAGGAAGTGGTGAAGGAAGTAGTCAAGGCGAGTAGTCCGGAGTGTGGGAACTGTTTATGACGATTAGATTAAGATATCTGCAATCTTTAAATGCAATGGAATGGAGGGAAACAGATCCATGACGTAGGAAATTGTGTAGGATGTAGATGTGTGGATTTATGCATCTCCAATACTACGGTGCTTTCAGAGTGAACTAATGATTTTCCCCGAGCAAAGCTCGGTCCCCAGGTACTATAATCAAATGACGACACTAGCTTGAGGTTCGTGACGTATGAAGAGGTTAAGGAAGTAGTAAAGGTGAACAGTCTGGAGTATGGAAACTGTTTATGACGATTAGATTAAGGTATTTGCAATTCTAAAATGCTATGAAAAGGGAGGAAAATAGGTCCGCGACGTAGGAAGTGGTGAAGGAAGTAGTCTAGGCGAGTTGTCCGGAGTGTTTGAAATGTTTATGACAATTAGATTATGGTATCAGCAAACCTAAAATGCTACGGGAAGGGAGGAAAACAGGTCCGCAACGTAGGAAGTGATGAAGGAAGTAGTCAAGGTGAGCTGTCCGGAGTGTGGGAACTGTTTATGACGATTAGATTAAGGTATTTGCAATCCTAAAATGCTATGGGAAGGGAGGAAAACAGGTCCGCGACGTAGGAAGTGGTGAAGGAAGTAGTCAAGGCGAGTAGTCCGGAGTGTGGGAACTGTTTATGACGATTAGATTAAGATATCTGCAATCTTTAAATGCAATGGAATGGAGGGAAACAGATCCATGACGTAGGAAATTGTGTAGGATGTAGATGTGTGGATTTATGCATCTCCAATACTACGGTGCTTTCAGAGTGAACTAATGATTTTCCCCGAGCAAAGCTCGGTCCCCAGGTACTATAATCAAATGACGACACTAGCTTGAGGTTCGTGACGTATGAAGAGGTTAAGGAAGTAGTAAAGGTGAACAGTCTGGAGTATGGAAACTGTTTATGACGATTAGATTAAGGTCACAACATTCCTAAAATGCTACGGAAAGGGAGGGAAACAGGTCCGCGATGTGGGAAGTGGCGAAGGAAGTAGTAAAGGCGAGCTGTTCGGAGTGTGGGATCTGTTTATGACGATTAGATTCAGGTATCTGCAATCTTAAAATGCTATGGGAAGAGAGGGAAACAGATCCGCGACGTAGGAACAGGTGAAAGAAGTAGTAAGGTGAGCAGTGAGCAGTGTGGAGTGTGGGAACTGGAAACCGTTTGTAGCAGTTTTAATGTATCTGCAATGCTGAAATGCTATGAGAAGGGATAGAAGCATGCCCAAGACATAGGAAATTGTGAAAGAAGTAGTAAAGTCTAGCAGTACGGACAGTGGGGATGTTTGTTGCAATTAGATTAACGTATCTAAAATACTAAAATGCTATGGAAAGCGATGAATACAGGTCCACGACGTAAGTGGTGAAGGAAGTAGTAAAGGCTGGCAGTGCAGAGTGGGGGAACCGTTTGAGCAGATGGATAAATGAATTTGTAATACTTAAATGCTATGAGAAAGGAAGGAAACAGGCCAATGACGTAGTAAATGGTGAAGGAAGTAGTAAGGCTAACAGCGCAGAGTGTGGGAACTGTCTTTGGCAATTAAATTAATGTATCTGCAATCCTAAAATGCTATGGGAAGAGAGGGAAACAGGTCCACGACGTAGGGTGTGGTGAAGGAAGTAGTAAAGGTGAGCAGTGTTGAGTTTGGGAATGGATTAATGTATCTGCAATGCTAAAATGCTACGGGAAGAGACTGTAGACTGTAATATGTTAAAATGATTACGAAGCACAAATCGATACATATTTTCGATACATGCAATCGTTTACAATCGAAATTTACAACTGAGTTGACAACAGCTGATTTTTACTCCATAGAGGCTAAAAACGATTTTTACTCCCTAAATATTAAAAATGCTACTTTAGACCCGCAGCGCATGCATGAAAAAATACTGTTTTTACTGCAGTAAGACAAAAACAATATAATATGATTCCTTGATGACTCCGCTCAATTTTGTGGATGCCTCTGCGAACGCCACCTAGTTAAATTATGCATAACTGACATGAAATTTGGGTATAACTGACACATATTGAGTCGTTAAAAAGCATGTTAAGTGTTGATTATCCAACAAGGAAATATCTACTTGGTTATGTTTATTTTATTTTACATTTACGGGTAATATTTGTCTAGTGAAATTTTTATCATTCAAATCACATTATAGTAGTTGCCTTTTCAAGCTTAATATTAAGAGTGTGATTTTTTATGTAACAAATTATTTGAAGCCCTCATATTTCTCACAAAGTATTATTGTAGAAACATTAAAGTCGAATTATCTTATCAACTACTAGCAGTCAGTGGATCTTCAAATACTGATAACCATTCAAGAAGAGGTATTAAGTTTATTTCATACTGCATCCTAGTAATTGATAGGCCTAAGTGTTTTTTTTTCAAAAGAAATTTATTTTATCTGTAGCAGCTAAACAAATACATTATCAAAATTATTTATCATGTTCATGCTGAACAAAAAATAATAATCATCTCTGGTTCAAACAAAAAATCTCAATAATTACAAAACAGTAAATATGTACATTGAAAATAGTATATTTCATAACAAGAGTAAAAAGTAGGGATGGACTGATCTTGAATTTTTGAGAAATTTGGAAGATAAAAAAAATGTTGTTCGTTCGAGCGAGATTGACTTTGCTCCAAGAAAAATGTGGTTGTTACATTATTACTACACTAAAACCTTGATTATCCGGTATTCATTTATTTTTTACAACAATGTTAGACATTTTTTAACTTAAATCTTATTTCATTAGCCCTTTCCCTATAGGAGTCGAAGTAATATTTCTAGCCCTAAAAAAGGTTAATAAACACAATCAATTCATACCTTTTGCCAAATTTCAAGAATTGTTGGTTCTATATAGCAGGGATTTGTTTGTCTCGTTCACCATTTTTTTAAATTGTTAATTCCAATTGTGTCGTTATTATTTATTTTTGCCACACTACATGGTAAGCATCTATTTTCTGGTCTCTTTGAAGACCAAAAAGTTATTGATAGAAAGAGATAAGTAAAAGCAGTAGGAGTCCAGTAAATTCACCTAGCACTCTTACAGGCCATTCTTTATCAATAAGGTGTAACATGGGTTTCCTCAGTACGATCATAGACAAATAGAATAAATATAGACCGCCAGCTGTGCTGCGGTTAGCATAAGTTCTGGCGTCCACCACTAGGTTTGCCGTGTAGTTACGGCACACACCACTGCAGCGTCTGCTGGTCACATCTGGCTCCTGCGCTCCTCGCCTGCAGCGGTGTGCGCCGTACCTACACGGCATACCTAGCGGTGGGCGCCGGAACCTTCCTTTGACAGTCTATATTTATTCTATTTGTCTATGGTACTATCCAAACATAAGATAGGCTAGAGGTAGTTGAACAGGCAAATTGCACTTTCAAAATAAATACTGGAAAGGTTTAAAAATGTTTCCTTTTAAAAAATTTATAAATTCTCTTAAAATGTTTTAAAATTGTTTTCATTAAAAAATTTGTAAATTCTCTTAAAATGTTTTAAAATTGTTTTCATTAAAACACTGTTCTGATTCTATGGGTGTTTTGTACCTATTGTGTGTGTGTTGTATTGTGTTTTACCATTGACTATTGGGGTTTTACTAACCCTGTGTTGCTGGTAGTGAGGCAAAAGTATTGTACGTGTCTCTCTGGGGAAGCTGCTAATCGTAAATCTGGAGAATGGAAATTGTGTAAAATCCGGCACACAGAAATTATCATGCTCGTATTGTAAACTCCCACTTCCAGGCCTTGTAGCCTAATATCCTATTTCTGGGTGGTTGTCTAGTTGATGGTGTTGTATATCTTAACTCTGTCATTGTTTTCCCGCCAGGTCGGAGTGTTTCCCTCCAATTTTGTCTCCGAGGTGTTTGATGATGAGGCCGGTCTTAAGGAGGCTTCACACCGCAAGACTTCAAAGAGCAGTCTGGACTCTGAAGGCTCTAAAGCTTCCAATGGTATGTCATGTTTTGCTGGTTCTAGTGTTAAGAGGAATGTTAAAAACGGTCTCGAGTTTAAATTACAGCAAGACTGTCAACATCAAAAATTCTTTTTTTACGCGGTGTCTATCTGTCCCTGAACAGACACTGATTGTATTTTGATGTAATTCTAAGCCACAGGTTTTTATCAGGGTCACATAGGTTAAATGGTTCAAGTCGCTTTATTTGATTTTATCCTCCTTTTAAAGTAAACAAAGTCAGTCTGATTTTGATTAATTTTGACATATTTATACCACTTTATGATATCTTACATGTACTTGTATTTTCTCATTAGACTAAGATACCATCAAATGTTTTAAAAATAAACAAGTAGAATGTGTAAAGTAGTATTAAGAATCTAAATAAATGAAAATTTTACAATTTTCATTAACTTTGGATTACAAGTTTTAATAGGCCTACATATTTGGATTAAATAGTTTTAATAGGCCTACATACTCATTATTGGATCATACTTAGGGTACTGTATTGTTATAGTTGACTGGTATGTATACAAATCCATAAGGTCTAAGCTTTTTTAAGACATAACGAAAAAAAATTGTGTGATGTGAAAATTCTTTTTAATTTTTGTGCAAAACAAAACAATTGTGTGACGATTTTCTAAAATCTGTTTATTTACATAACAGCTAGAGCTGAAGGGATGAGTGGAAAGGTTGTGCAACACTGATGACGGAGGGGGGGAGGGGTGCAGGTAGGAATGTGGGGTTTGGGTCTTCAGCAGCCACTCAAGTGCTGATGTTTGTTGTATTGTGTTGTAGCCAGCACCATGAACCATGAGGAGTCTACGTCACACAGTGCAGCAGACGTACCTCAACTACCACCTAAACCTAGTGAGTACACATATCAGCTGATTAAACCCTCAATTAGCTGTTGTAGTTATCAGTGTGATATATTAGGTATAAACAAAGTGTTTCTAGATATCAGTCAGCTATTTTGTATATAAATGAATCAATTGTTGTGAACAAAATAATTTTTTTCTGTGTCAGAATATCTGTTTAGTAAATAGGTACTCGTTAATCCAGCATGCCTAGGACATTAGCAGTGCCGTGCCAGACTATTGAAAATATCGAACTACTGAACGGGTTGTAAAACAGCTGTCATTGCGAGATCAGCAAAAAATACCACTAATTAATTGTAGATTGTCAAAAGGAAGTGCTTTGCTGGCGGGCCGTTATTGGTTTTTAATTGTGATTTCCCTCATTTTAGTAGTGATTCAAAATTATAAAATTAAAAAATAAAATAAAACGTCCCAAACTCTTTTGAGTTCAAGTTACTTTACTTATACTTTTCGATGAAATGGCGAGTCTGCATTTTGCGTGTAACGTCTGCCGATCGCTCCCGGTATTGCTACACGTGCTAATTTAGCCAAAAACAGCCTACAAATGTTTATAGAGCTTTAGATCAATGTCAGAATTGAAAGTGCCGGACGACCATATACCAAATTAGCAGATGTTTACTCTACTGCACTAGTTAATAATCTTACTTCAATAAAAGGGGAAATTTTAGAGAAATTTAGAGTGCAAATGTAATTTAAAATTTCAGCTCAAATTATACAGAAACAAGTACAATATACATAAAAAGGATCCCTTCAAAGGAGCTAAATTTAAGGTGCTAAGCCATTAAAATCTTTTTTTATTCGCTGATTTTCCAGGAAGAGTTGTGAAACAACAATCATAGACTAGGCATTCAATAGTTTTAAACATCATAACTGATCACTTGTCATTCCCCATTTAAATGTTCAATAACTACATCTACATCTTTCTACCCCAGTGCAAAAGCAGTTTTGTAAAATCCACTGAGGAAGGTTCTTTTCACCTACTTTTGTACCAGTATATAAATTGTCTATCCAGACTTCAATCTAATTTTTGAAAGAAAATTTGGTTTGATTAGAAAACGTAGGCTATATAAATTATTGTAATATATATTACCAATCAGTTTTGTAAACATTACTTGGCTTTATTATCTATACAAGTTGTATGATTAGGCCTAGTAACTGGTTGTTTTACTATTGACCGGTTAAGCTGGGTCTAATCATGTATTTACTAGTTAAATACATGGTTATGTTATATGATAATATTTATTATTAAGTGGTTGTATCTGTTTCAGTGAAAGAGCTGTGTAGAGTTATGTTCCCTTACGACGCAGTCAACGACGACGAGTTGACGTTGAAGGAAGGTGACATCATTACCATAATCAGCCGGGACGGTCAAGACAAGGGGTGGTGGCGGGGAGAACTCAATGGAAAAGTCGGTGTATTCCCAGACAACTTCATACAAGTCATCACTGCAGATGAGGTTAGTATAACTTCCAATTCATATATGAGAAAATAAAAACATATAATAATTTTAGAAAAGTTTTATAGCTTAACTAGCCTAGTATAAGCCTTTCAACTTAAAGGCTTCCATTGCCAAAGTAAACTATATAATCATGGTCTTCGAAATTGACTATTTCGTTGGACTGGCAAACATGCTGGCCAACTTTCCAGACATGTTACAATAATCTATCTTTGGGACAAGCCACAATTCAACATGAGTGAAAAGAGTGAGAAAAACCTGAGTATAACTAGAATAACGCAGTCATCTCTCAAGAACTAAAGCTAAATGGTCCCTTAAACTGATCATTAGGGGAGGAAAATTTGTATAAACTCCAATATGGTCCATTTTACTAAGGCTTAATTTATAGAAGTGATTGCACCGTTTGTACAAAAGATTTACTCATTTTACATTTGAGTAGGGATTTTTTTAGTTCCGGTAATTGACATCGACCAGTAGTATTGAAGGATCATCAAATTTAAATGATTCGTTCCTTTAAGGAAAATTTTGAAAGGTTAAAAAATTCTACTACTATTCAAATTGCCACCAACTATAGTTTTCAATCAAACAAATAATCTTAAAAGTATATTATGGTGGGACCTAAAATTCCAGATCCTCAAAGGAGTAAAAAGTTCTTCTAATGGCTTGTACCCTTCTGATGTACAACATATGTAAAACTTGCGACGTTCATATTCCTTCCATCAAATTTAACAGCTCAGTGACAAACAAACCTTACATAATCAATAACTACAACACATGTAATACCGATTTTCCTCAACTAATTTCCCCCAACTTGCAACTCCTCAAAATTAATTATTGAGGGGATGGAAACTTTCCCTCAAGTGAATTACCAAATCCAGAGAACCCCCCAACCGAAACCACATGTAAAAGTCCTATCCCAACACAGCAGGCTTTTGTAAATATAGAATACACCAGTAATTTGGCAGTTATAGGACTGTGATACTGCCGGATTATTGGAATGTTCTCAATAAAAACACTTAAAATGCAATTAAAACACGTCTCTGAAGATCGCACGGTCGGAAACCGCTATTGCCACGGTTGGGCAAGACGCAGATGACGTTTCCATAATGGCGGGAGACGATTATGCATTGCTATTGCCACGATCATGCATGACGATGATGACGTTTCCGTGACCGAGGGAGGCGATGATAACATCTACTCGTCCGCGGGAGATGCTGGTGATTTTGCCACGATCGTGGAAGACCTCACACGTCAAAAGACGCCGGATTACTGGAGTGCCGGAGTGGTACAGTGCCAGATTAGAGAGGGTCTACTGTACTATAATTCAGTCTTGACCCAGCAATTGATCTATCAGTGACCAAAAACATTAGACTAGACAGCACATTCTTCTTCCTTTTTTCACAACTAGAATACCCTACAAGAACAAAGACCCTACACCTGAAAAGGAGCTAGTACAGTAGCTCAAAAATTTGGTGTTTATTTGTGCATTTTCTTATATTTTTGTAAGTACGCTAAGTCTGCCGTTGAAACTTTTTTGTTGTTGTTTGTTATTGTGTTCAATTATAACAAACTAATATACATATAGTTATACATTTCATTACAGGGTGTCTAGTTTATTTCCATTATAAAATTCAAGACTAATTCCAGACTTTTCAAGACTAGTTCCAAATTTTTCAAGACTAGTTTTTCAACAATTAGTGGGTGTTGATACCAAAATGTATCGATTCTCAATTCTTAATACTAATAAAATACCAATTTTTATAGCTTAACCAAATTTTCTAAATAATACTACACCAACCCCTGTCTTTGTCATAAAGTAGTATTATGATAATGAGACGACGATGACCTTTCCGTGACCGCGGGAGACGACGATGATATCTGCTTGGCCGCGGGAATTTTTCATGATTTTGTCGCGATCGCGGACGACGACTATTACGTTTCCGTGACCGCGGGAGATGACGATGACGTTTCCGTGACCGCGGGAAATGACGATGACGTTTCCGTGACCGTGGGAGATGACGATGACGTTTCCGTGACCACGGGAGATGACGATGATGTTTCCGTGACCGCGGGAGACGACGATGACGTTTAGGTAAGGTTATCCGATCCAGATTTTACTCGTACACACCCTCGCGTCTAAGTCTACGTTCCTAAACTATTAGTAATTAATTAAGATTAATTCATTAAGTGATTGAATTGAAAATCTTAAATTTTATGCTTCTCTGTATTCCTCTGCCGAGAAAAATAAATAGTCAACAGATTTCGAAATACACTTACATTGCAACTTATCTCGAACCTACTACATATTCAGTCTTTGCCTTTTGAGCGAACTTAGCGAATTTATGCTACAGAAACTCACGACTGAGGAATTTTAGGTATAACCACGAACATTTTTGAAGAAACATATGTAAAACACACCAAACCAAAGAACCCACAATACACCAGTCATAGCATACAGTAGTGTTTGTATTATAAATGTCAACCCTGTAAACACTCAAGGGACAATCTCTTGTGTATCCCTCTGTAGTCCAGCGGGGATTAAATATATTGCTGTGGAGACAACTCCTTCTCCTTTGTCTCCTAAGGACACTACAGATACTTGGTTGTGCAACCCACACAAAGTCTAAGTAAGTAGTTTCAATAAGGATATCGGGGCGTAAAATGAACCGAAATGATAATACCCCCGCCGCAGCAATCCTGCAGACACCGAATTTCCTTTTACCTGGTTGAGTTCTCAGTAAAATATCCACTTTTGTTAAATATATTTTCTATTCAAATAATTGTAATGAGTACTTAGGTTTTCTGCTACACGAAAGGTATAAAGTGAGTTTTTATTGAAATGTCAGTGGCTTAGAATCAGTATGAAATAAAATTAACCAGTAATTCTAAATTTTATCAAAATGCATCCATAAACAAGAAAACTACAACAGTTCATTAATTACTTCCCAATTACATAGTATAATACATATATAATACACATAACATAGTAGAATATAGTAGATAGCATAATTATGGAGAAAGTATAGTTATCGTCAAAATGTTTGAGTGTTGGGTGGGAATATCGGTTTTGGGTTTCCCTGAACCCAAAACGTATCGATTCTCAATTCTTAATACTAATACCAATTTTTATAGCTTAACCAAATTTTCTAAATAATACTACACCAACCCCTGTCTTTGTCATAAAGTAGTATTATGATAATGCCGTGTTTTCAAGTAAAAAAATAATGCAGCAATAAAAAATTCTAACTAGCAAATTTGGTTTTTTTTATCATGAAATCTTCCACGTACCGTACGTTTAGACATCATCATTGACTGCAGCGGTTACAGAAACGTGATCGTCGTCGTCCGCGATAACGGCAAAATCATGAATATTTCCCGCGGCCTTGTAGACATCAATGACATCATTGTCATCTCCCGCGGTCACGGAAACATCATTGTCATCTCCCGCGGTCACGGAAACGTCATCGTCGTCGTCCGCGATCGCGACAAAATCAAGAACAATTCCCGCGGCCGAGCAGATATCATCGTCGACTCCCGCGGTCACGGAAACGTCATCGTCGTCTCCCGCGGTCACGGAAACATCATCGTCATCTCCCGCGGTCACGGAAACGTAATAGTCGTCGTCCGCGATCGCGACAAAATCATGAACAATTCCCGCGGCCAAGCAGATATCGTCGTCTCCCGCGGTCACGGAAACGTCACTGTCATTTCCCGCGGTCACGGAAACGTCATCGTCATCTCCCGCGGTCACGGAAACGTAATAGTCGTCGTCCGCGATCGCGACAAAATCATGAACAATTCCCGCGGCCAAGCAGATATCGTCGTCTCCCGCGGTCACGGAAAGGTCATCGTCGTCTCCCGCGGTCACGGAAACGTCATCGTCATCTCCCGCGGTCACGGAAACGTCATCGTCGTCGTCCGAGATCGCGGCCAAATCATGAACATTTCCTGCGGCTGTTTAGACATCACCATCATCTCTCGTGGTCACGGAAACGTTATCGTCATCGTCCGCGATCACGGCAAAATCATGAACATTTCCCGCGCCTGTGTAGACATCATCGTCGTCTCCCGCGGTCACAGAAACGTCATCGTCATCTCCCGCGGTCACGTAAACGTCATCACCGTCGTCCGCGATAGCGACAAAATAATGAAAATTCCTTGCGGCCGTGTAGACATCATCATTGACTCCCACGGCCACGGAAACGTCATCGTCGTCTCTCGCGGTCACGGAAACGTCATCGTCATCTCCTGCGGTCACGGAAACGTCATCGTTGACTCTCGTTGTCACGGAAACGTTATCATCGTCTCCCGCGGTCACGGTAACGTTATCGTCGTCCCCAGCGGTCACGGAAACGTTATCGTCGTCCCCAGCGGTCACGGAAACGTAATCGTCGTCGTTCGCGATCGCGATAAAATCATGAACATTTACCGAAGCCGTGTGGACATCATCATCGGCTTTCGCGGTTACGTAAACGCAAGACGATGATCGCGGCAAAATCATGAAAATTCCCGACTTTGAAATCAAATTTAAGACTAAATCCCGACTTTTCAAGACCATTTTGAAATTCAATACTAATTCCCGACTTTCCCGATTTTCCCGACTACTAGACACCCTGTCATTATTCATAACAAACTAACCTTAAACAACACTCAAAGAAAACAACTACAGTAAATAAAAACAATCTTTTCAATCAGTTGTTTTTTTGTCTAGTTATATAATTTTAAATAATTTTGCAATGTTAATTTTATAGTCAAAGCCAGCTCGACCCCCAGCAAAGACGAACATTGTAACAACCAACAGAGTGAAAGATTCCATCACTCGCCCCTCCACCACTGCACCACAGACCACATCCTCGCGTAAATCCATCGAACTGCCTCCTAAACCAGGTAGAGTATAAACGCTGCTACTTAGTGCTACATCATCTATTGATAGAAATCGAGATAACGTTGCATTTGTCATATTAGAATTGGACAGAGTGAAGATTTCAGTACAAATGCTATTTAAAAATTATTTTAAGTTTAGTCCTAGTGGGAGTAAATTGGATGTTTAAATGTTTAAGTAAATTTAAATCTATAATACCACTCTCACTGTTCACTTGGCAGTATAATCTGTACAAATAACAGTTTACTATTATAAATGTAATAACCATTTGCCCCTGCTATAACCAGTAGGCCTACCCTTGAAAACTTAGAACATTTGTATTTCTTGCCATTGTAACACATGCTCTTAGGATGTATACTCCTCAGGATAGAAAACAGATAATCACTTTACAATAATAAGCACAATTTTAAATAATATGATAAACACACTTTTTCATTGTGTTTTTTTTTTCAGATGAAAAAACAAGTCCTCCTGGTATTAGCAAGAAACCCCAGTTGCCCCCTCCACCACTCAAAAAGCCACAACGAAGCCCAAGCGGGGCGTCCAGCACCAAGACACTGGTAACAGAGACAAAGCCCACCAACACTGCCACCACCCCCACCAAGCCTCCGGACAGCTCCACCAACCCTGGTAAGTGTGTAGTGGTAGCTTGATCATAAAGCTATGTTAAGTGAAGCCCTAGCGGGGCCTCTGGTACCAAGACACTGGTAACAGAGATAGACAGTTATCTTCTTAATCTTTGCAATAACGTCTATGTTCAGACCTTGTTAATTTTAATAAATGATGTTTTCCATGTTCTGGGACGTCGCCATGCACACTTCAGTTCGGCTAATCTGAACTCATCTTTACCATTAGCCACAGAAGATATAACAACAGAGGATAAGTACAGTTGAACCCCTCAGCCAACCTCGGAATAACCGTCATGGTCGGATATGAGGGGTTCTACTGTATATAAGCATAAGCATATCATAGTCTATTTTATTGTCTGATGCTGACCTAAAAGGCCTCCAGTTGCCATAAATACATTACAAAAACTTTAACAATGTTTTGAGCACAACCAGTTTCCAAAAATTAAACCTCGCTAATCTGTGTACTTTTCAACAGTGAGCATGGCAAGAATACCACTGACACCATTAACGTTCTCTCTGAAGCAAGCCTCAACCTCGGACGATGCAGACGGAGGTTGCCTTAGTCGCAGCTCAGGGTCGTTCACTCCCTCGCATGTGGCAGAACCTGAGCCTGATGTGGACCTGGACTGTGTCGGTCGCACGGCCATGCTGACACATCCCACCGCCAGTCGCGTGCGGGCACCTCGGCGCAGACCTCCCTCTGGCATACCTGTCAAAGAGGTCAGTATGTCAGTAAGCTAAAAAAATTGATTTTTACCAAAGTGTAACATTGAATACGTGCGTTCAAATCTGAAGGTTTCTGGGTCCTACTGTTAGTTCAACGTACCTAAAATCAGGGACGGATGGGATTGAACTTCTAGATTGGTTTAGTCAGTATTATTTCTCTCCTGAGTTTTGAGATAGTAAGAATTTTGCTTCCTATGCAACAATTGGACTTGTCAGTTTGTTTTTAAGAGTTGAGTAAAAATGCTTGCGAATGATAGGAGTGACAAACAAAACCAATGTTCACTTTTTATTGCACTATTCTATATCACAATGACTAATCCGTGACCCCAGTACCGGTAGGCTACTATTGTTATTATCTCCTAGAATCTCAGGGTCTCATCATCGTCACCCACCATACCAATAAAATCGTTTGTGGAAGTCTTCGGTTGATAACTTGTGGACGTTTCAGTGAATTTAATTTTTATTTTTCTGCATAAAAGATTTTACACTACTACACCAGGGTTGCCACCAGCCATGAAAACCTTGAAAAGCGTGAATTATGCGTGAATTTAGGTGACCATGAAAAAGTGCGTGAATTATGCGTGAATTTCGTCATTGGACCATGAATTCTCAAAATCATTATTAATAATTCACAGGGTTGCCACCAGCCATGAAAACCTTGAAAAGCGTGAATTATGCGTAAATTTAGGTGACCATGAAAAAGTGCGTGAATTATGCGTGAATTTCGTCATTGGACCATGAATTCTCAAAATCATTATTAATAATTCAGCCAAAACCCCTAAATGTGCTGAATCAAATACTCCGTATTAAAACCATTCTCAAAATGAACACCGACATAAAACGTCAAAGTGCTAGTGTCGAGATAAAAAGTTTTGTTGCCATGCCACAAATTGAAACTATTGCGTAGTTTATTCAAGGTCAAATCCGATCGTAACCGACGTCAGCCGAGTACTAGAGATGGGAATTATCGTTGTTTTCCGCCAACGGTTATAACGATAACGCAGCTGCACAATACCGTGTTGCGGCAACCTGTTATTTCAATAACGATTGCCAACTCGTTGCCGCTATAAACCGTTGTCCGCCGGACGGTGTTGCGGCCACTGAGCTATAATTCTAACTGGAGGTAGCACTGAATGTCAAAGATGCGTGTCGCCAGCCGCCATGTTTGCGTGAGGTGTGAGTTATAAAGAAGCCATGTTATTGGATGAAAAAACTCACTGCTATACAGACCTAGTTATAGAAGCCATGTCATTGGTTAAAAAAACTCACTGCTATACCAACCTAACAAAATCAGCGACACGCTCTTGACAGACTTCTGCCATGGCAGTGCTACCTCCAGTTATAATTTTAGCTCAGTGGTTGCGGCGTTCAGTTATCGTTGTCGGTTGATCAGTTCAGTTTTCATTTGTAGTCGGGAGTCGGGCGTTGCCGCGATAACGTTGCCGTGGCTGCAACACTGTTATTCATCCTGTTATGTTATAACTAGTGATGGGAGTGAAATCACGTTACTGATACATTTCACTGATATTTGAAAATCACCGTGGTAACTGATACGTCAAGGCGTCTAGTATCAGTGACTAACGGTGACTTTTGAGACTGTGACTGAGACTGAGACTGTGACCGACTGTGAGTACTGTGACTGAACGCCCATCTCTACCGAGTACCGATCTACCGATAAAATCGATGCTTTCGGAGTTAATCCATAGTAACTATGTTACTGACTAAATTTTGCAGATTTTGATTCATTTTTTCTATTTTAGGGATATCAACTTTCAAAAATTCCTCCAAAAGGGCATCGTCATGGCAAAACCAGCTTTCAAAACAAGTGGCTTACAGATCCAGAACTAAGCCCCTGGCTACTTAGAGTTGAAAACAATATTTACTCAGCAAAATGTCGATTCTGCCCCTCAGCTGCAATTTCCCTCTCTGCCATGGGTCGTCAAGCCCTAACCAGCCATATGAAAGGTCAAAAACATATGAAAGCTGCTAGAGCTTCAATTTCTTCTGTCCCACTTTTTGTACACCAACAGCAGTCCACAACAGTAGTCCACAACAGCAAGTCCACAACAGTAGTACCTTCCACAATCAACTTTTCAAATCCACAACCAGGACCATCCACTGCTGTTTCCGATACAAACATTCCAGGTCTTCTGCCAACCAGGTCTCAATCTAGTCTTGTACAGTCATCAGCTCTCTGTGATCCAGGAGAATCTACTAGTCATCCTACTGTGCTGCCTCCAATGGGAGATAGAGGCATAAAAAAATACCTCATTGCCAATCAAGTTACCAAAGCTGAGATAATATGGGCTATCAACTGTGTGATGACTCACTCTTCATTCAAAAGTGCTGCGGCAGGAGTAGAGGTGATGAAATTGATGTTTCCTGACAGCACAATAGCTGAAAAATTGGAATTGCAAAGGACAAAAATGGCTTACAGTATTGTATTTGGTGTTGCACCATACTATCAAAACAATCTCATGAACATGTTGAAAGATTGTTCATGCTTTGTTTTATTATTTGATGAATCATTGAACAAAATTTCTAACAAACAGCAAATGGATGTTTGTGTTAGGTTTTGGAGCGAGGAAAAAGAAGAAACCAGCACCAGGTATTTAACGTCATCTTTTTTACATTCAGGAAAGGCAATTGACCTGCAACAAGCTCTCTTATCTTCGATCAAGTCTTTGGAAGTAGAACATCTGCTGCAAGTGTCCATGGATGGACCTAACGTCAATGTTAAACTGATGAGAGATTTGAAAGCTTTTTTGAATGAGCAAGGTGTGGAAAAGAAAATTATTGACTTTGGATCGTGCGGACTACACACTATCCACAATACATTTAAAGCCGCCATCTCTGCAACAGGCTGGACAGTTGTTACATTTCTAAGAGCGTCCTACAACCATTTTAAATACTCACCTACTCGGCGAGGAGAATTCATCCGCTTAACAAAATGTGAGAAATTTCCGAAGAAATTTTGCGCCATTAGGTGGGTTGAGAATGTTGATGTTGCTCAAACAGCGTTGGACATCTTACCTCAACTTAAACTATATACAGACACAGTCAAAAAAACTACAAAAGATCCTACACCATCATTTCAAACGATTATTGACAGTTTGAATGACCCACTTCTTGGACCAAAAATAGCTTTTTTTAAGACATTGGCATCTGAAGCAGAACCTTTTTTAAGGGAATTCCAGACAGATTGGCCATACATACCTTTTCTTTATCACGGCCTAGCAACCATGGTCCTCTCAGTCTTGAAGAGCTTTGTGAAGCCTGAGAAAGTGAGAATCGGTGTAGACTTAGAGAAAGAAGACAATGTTTTACCCTACAAGAGAGTTGACCTAGGCTTTTCCACGAAAAATGAGATTTCCAAATCTAAAGCCAAAGATGTTGAGATAGCCTTGCTACATAAACAAGCTTATCATGGTATGAAAGCTTTTGTGGGTAAAGTAGAGAGCCGCTCTCCTTTAAAGTTTAAGATTACTAAATACTTAACATCCCTGGACCCAAAAGTTGCGGCAAAGCCTGAAGGAGAACAACTGTTTGACAAACTTGTTGAAGAGTATGTAAATTCCAATTGGATAAGTGGGACTAAAGCAGACAAGATCTCACGGCAGTTTAAAGAAATGATCAAGACGGATGAATTCGCTCAAGCCGCAAAAGACTTCAAGAGAACCAAAACAAGAGTCGACCACTTTTGGATCAAGGAGTTAAAAAATGCCAATGGTGACAATGAAGAATTTCAAGATTTTTTAAAACTGACACTTATACTCTCCCACAGCAATGCTCATGTGGAGAGAAGTTTTTCGATCAACAAGGAGTGTTTGGTCGAAAATCTGAAAGAACATTCCCTGATTGGAATCCGAACGGTTTATGATGGTGTGCAGGCAGAAGGAGGAGTGAAAAACGTGCAGATAACCTCATCAATGGTGCATGCAGTTAAGAACTCCAATGCCAAGTACAAAGAGTATTTAAAACAGGCTAAACTTATACAATCTGATGAGAAAAAGGTGCAAGAGGAAATGAAAAGAAAAAGAAAGCTACTACAGGAACTCAAAGCAAAAAAAGCTAAGCTGATGGAAGAGGCTCAAAAAGAGAGTGAATGTCTAGAAAGACAAATTGAAGATTTGAGCAAGAAACTCTAAAACAAAGAACTTGTTGAAACTGGAACAAAAGTTATCTAATTTGTTACCATAAGTTAGTTTGTTACAATTGTAATCATTAGATCTCAACAAACTTACTTATATAAAAAAAATGTAATATAGCATACAGCATATGCCATTTTGAGGCTTGATGTTCGTTTTTTTGAAATCAAGTAATTATTTAATTTTATTTTTCTGATATTATGCTAATGTGATGTATATCTCATTTTATTTATAACATTACATTATGTTATTGTTAACATATTTATAAGTGTCATCATCATTATAGTTTATATTAAGTGTTCCAATATTAATAGCAGTTTGGTCTCTTTGAGTTTGTGATATTTCTATTTTTTTCCCAACTAAAAAATTTCAATTTCACAATCTTTTTGGCCAAATTACAATGATTTTTGTGAAATAATTGTTTGTAACGTTATTATATAAAATAGTAACAGGTTGCATCTCTTAAAGTTTTTCTTATTTGCATTCTATGATATTTAATACAGTTTATTGCCGTAGATTTTTTAAATGCAGTGTTATTTGTGAGAATGTGTTTAACTATTTGATTTTGTGATAATGTTAACTACATTGCAAAAAGTGATTTATTTAGTTTTGCTCAAGTCATCACGTGTTTAGTAGTACAAGATTATGAGTATTATTATATTGTATATAAAGTGTTTTATCATAATAACTGTTTGATCTCTTTGGTTTTGTGATATTTCTAGTTTTACAAAGAATCCTATAGCAGGCTTATTTCTTAGCTTGAAAAAATTAACAATACTACAATCTTTTTGACCAAACTACAATGATTTTTGTGAAATAATTGTTTGTAACATAAAATAATTGGTAATAATTGGTTATATAAAATAAGAAAAGGTTGCATCTCTTAAAGTTTTTCTTAATTTAATTATGATAGGGCCTATATAATACAGTTTATTGCCATAGATTTTTCAAATGCAGTGTTATTTGTGAGTACCGGTATGTGTTTGACTCTTTGTGTTTGATTTTGTGATAATGTTAACTACATTGCAATAATTACGAGGCATGTTTTTTAAGTAAGTACCGTTTTTAAATTTCTCCGTTCTAGCACTGCGATTGACATTTCGGACATTTGCGCTGTATATGTGCATCTATTGGCTAGCTCTAGCCGGAAATTCGACAAAAATCGGCCCTGTTTATATCCGGTTTCTAGCAACTCAAAATAGTGCCGCCAAATGAGACTGCCGCCCACTGTGAAGTGCGCGCTGTAATTAGATTTTTAAGTGCTAAAGGTGTGAAATCCATTGAAATTTATCGACAGATTAGTGAGGTGTATGTTGAGAACATTATGAGTGACGGAATGGTACGCAAGTGGGTAAGGACATCTAAAGACGGCCCCACCAACGTCCATCATGAGCAACGCACTGGGTACTGGGGACATTGACGCCGCCCAGTGCGTTGCTCATGATGGACGTTGGTGGGGCCGTCTTTAGATGTCCTTACCCACTTGCGTACCATTCCGTCACTCATAATGTTCTCACCATACACCTCACTAATCTGTCGATAAATTTCAATGGCTTTCACACCTTTAGCACTTAAAAATCTAATTACAGCGCGCACTTCACAGTCGGCGGCAGTCTCATTTGGCGGCACCATTTTGAGTTGCTCGAAACCGGATGTAAACCGGGCCGATTTTTGTCAAATTTCCGGCTAGAGCTAGCCAATAGATGCACATATACAGCGCAAATGTCCGAAATGCCAATCGCAGTGCTGGAACGGAGAAATTTAAAAACGGTACTTACTTAAAAAACATGCCTCGTATAAAGTGACTTATTTAGTTTAGCAATACCTCTCAAGTCATTAAGCATTTAGTACAAGATTGTGATTATTATTTCATTATTATAGGGTATATAAAGTGTTTGTTCTCTTTGATATTGTGATAGTTTTGATTTTATCTTAGACTAATTACCAATATTCAATGATTTTACCTACAAACCTATAGGGTCTAGCAGACTTATTTCTTCATTTACAAAAATTACTAATCCTACATTCTTTCTCAATGATATTTCTGAAATTGTTTCTAGTATTGTTATATAAAATAAGTAACTGGTTGTATCTCTTATAATTTTTCTTATTTATTCTATGATATGTAATACAGTTTATTGCCGTGCTTTTTTCAAAAGGAGTGTTATTGGTGAGAATGTGTTCGATTTTGTGATAACGTTAACTTTTTTTAATAATTACATCGTATTATCACACACACGATTTTTATTAATATCCTTTTTCATCTGTGATTTTACTTTTTTTTAGACTGGATAAATTATATTAAATTCTTATTTTTCACTCTAAAATAAACACATGAAAAGTGTTTTATTTGATAGTAGCACACAAAACAATATATTGTCGATAAATTAACGTACAATTCTGAACTAGGCAACACTCTTTTATGGTGAAATTGTGCGAGAATATACCCCATGAATTTTTCAAAACTACCAATGAAAACCTTGAATTATGCATGAATTTTTTTATCTCACTTTGGTGGCAACCCTGTACACAGTTTAGTTCTTAGGCAGTAGTGTATATTTGATTGGGCAGCCTATATAAGAAATTTAACATCTTAGAACACTCTAGGCACCAGCCACAATATTAGTATTATCAGTTTATAAGTTAGCTTAACACCTACTTGCAACTTGCAAAACAACAAGTAACAAAATATTTTGTTGCAGAGTGGGGAGTCTACAGGGCTGATGAATGGTAATGCAGAGCCCCACTTGAACTTGGTAGACGATAAAACCAGCAACAAGGCCCCATGGGTAGAGGAGCTGAAGATGAACCAAGCGAAGAAAAACTCAGCCCAAGGTAAGATTAGACTGCTACTGTATGTAATCATGGAGTGGACAAAACTCCATGTAAACAGGGCCGTACCCAGTTTTGGCAGGCCCCGGTAAATTAATTATTTATTTATTACTTGGTACAGCACATATACACTGGATTTATAATACAAAACTGCATAAGCCTTAAAAAAGGCTTGTCAGCAGCGTTTCTTATAATACTAATTGCTTTTTCCATCTTTATCTTGATCTTGAGTCAGTGTGAACTATTAACTGTACAAAAACTTTAGAAAAAATAAATAAAATTCAAAAATAAGAACAAGTGTAAATGCAAGGAATATTCTTAAAATTATTTAACATGAATATACTTTCAGATTACAAACATTCAACAAACAAATAAATATCTAACAAGGAATAATAACAGCTGAAACGATCTTTATAACATACAATAAAACAGAAACTATATTTTTAACAGTTGATAAAAGAGATATATATATATATATATTATGTAAAATTCTGTAAAGAATAACAGCAACTGAAAAACAACAAAAGACACAACTTGTATTATACTATGATATAACAATAACAATAGTTCTCTAAAAACTTTAACTACTCGGTCATATACCATTTTTTTAGTTTTATCTTCAATAATTTATATGTTTTTATTTCTTTCATACATTGTGACAAATTAAACAATGTAGGAACCAAATAGCTTCTTGTACGCTTTGTGTATTTATTATTAACTAGTGTACATGTTGCTCGAATTCGAGCAATTTATTTATTTATTATTTCAGATTGAATAACAGTCATATTTACAATGAGCTTAAAAGAGTCAACTCAAATATTACCGTTGTGTAACTCAGACCCTGTTTATCTTCGTTATTGATGAACCTAAAGCATTCCGGACGGTTCTCTCCCTTCAAAAAAGCCTCGCTGTACAGGCAACACAGGTCATTAATAGAGGGCCAATTGAGAACGAAAAGTCGTTTTGGGGTAGTGTTAGGGCGCATTTGTAACCAAATAGTTGAAGTTGTCCAGGTTCAGGTTCAGACTGTGATGCCTATTACGCGCCACTGTTCTGTAGCTGCGGTCGTTATCACGATTGCGCCTCCTGTCTATGTTTCGTTGTCGTTGCGTCGGAGACATTTAAAAGAAATAAACAACAAATAATAAACAAATTATAGCTACACAAAACAACGATAAATGCACAAATTTAAGTTACAATCATGCTAACACAATGCATCATAGCGACACAAAACAACGATAAATACACAAATTTAAGATACAACCATACTATAACACGATCCGTCTTGGGGGTTATGTTTACACAAACTCAAATAGTAAATAAATGTACTCAATGTGTTTCATTGAATTGAAAAGTAAATTAAATAACAGCAATAAAATTATACAGCTGATCAAAATGTAAACAATTATGTTCTTCATAAGGATAACATGGGAACTTTCAAAGCCACTGGGGCAGAGCCCAAGGGACTTTTTCGAAAATGTAAGGTCAGTTTGCAAATCTACGCGACACGCTCTTTCCAATGAGACGTCAATGGGTAAAATCGGTTAAGAAATGGCGGAGGAGTTCAACCGACAAACTTTCGTGTAGCGTATTAATTATATAGATAGTAGGAACAATGAAAAATTCTTTCCTAGAGTTGTATTTATGCACATTTTTTACTTTGAACCTGTTTGAAAAATAATAATCTATTATTATCAAATAAGTGAACAGCTTTTCCACTGGTAAAACCCCTGTTAACTGATAACACAACATTGGAGTTTCACTGACAACAGCAGAATCAAGCTTAGTGATAATCTTTAATATTCTTGTTTGAACAGTCTGTAGTTTCTGTAATTCTGATATTGATGCATTTCCCCATGATCTCAATCCATACCTAAGAAGTGACTCGCACATAGATGCAAAAATTAGATTCATTGTCTTAAACAGTAAGTAGTCTCGTAAGTAATTAAGTTTTGAGGCACACACTCTAAGTTTATCTTTTATATATGCAATATGAGAGTCCCATTTTAAATTACAGTATGATCAACAAATACCCAGATATTTACAACTTTTAACACTTTCCAATAATTGACATTCACATTATTATCGTGATGATAACCACATTATAGTATTGATAACCACATTAGTGGTCATATATCGTGTACTTCAAATATATTAGGCTGCCTCCCTCCCCGTGAGGTATATGTTTGGCAGGGCCCGGGCCCCGGTGAAATTATCCGGGAAAACCGGTCTGAGTACCGCCCTCCATGTAAATGTTTAAAAACTGCTGTTAGTACCCAATAATATGGGACCAGCTAATCTATTGGTTAGCATGGTGGACTTCAACAATGACATTTAGCTATGACTAGCTGTTACCCACGGGATTCACCCCGTTTGACTTCATAAGTATTAATAGAACTATTGATTGGTTAAGTAAAGCTGAAATAAACAAAAACAGAATACAGTAATACAAACAAATAATCACACTTCGATAAGGCAATAAATTGAAAGAATAACAAACAAATAAGTAGAGCTGAGATATTTTAAACATTAGCTATATGGAAAGTTCCCTTTAGAAAGTAATTATGACCTTAAAGGGCAATTTATGAAATAATGGATGGTTTTGGCCAAAATCTGTCTTTTATTTTTATTTTTATGGAGACAGAGGTTTCCTTTTAAGAAATGAATCATATGGTAGGTAATCTTAACAAATTTTGACTTGCATATTTAAAATACATGAAGCCTTTAAAGTCCAATGAAGCAAAGCACATTTAACTGAGCGTGGCAAGTTATTCCATGACTTCTACAGAAAATTCCTTTTAATTTGACACCTTAATAATCAAAATCGGTTCATAAATAAAAGAGTTTTGCTGTACACAAGAAATTCCTTACAGAATTAGAATAATAGAAGATTAGGGAAAACATTCTTTGATTTATCCTTTTGACAGATTAAATTTATCCAAGCTATTTGCAATCAATATTTTTTTAAGTAGGATTATTAGAATTAATGATTTTTCTGTACATATGATCTTCTAAAATAAACCACAACCTATAATAATATTTCAAAATAAACTACAGCAATTATATTGTAGATAAAATATAAATTTTAGCTGGCACTATTTATTTTTGATTCTATTCCTTTACAATTTTGAAACAATACTGTAAATTATTTTCTTGTCATGCACGTTCTGCAATGTATAGACTCTTATCTGTATTTTATCTGACTTTTCTATTTCCTTACCACAATAAAGTTTTCCTTCTGATAATAAATTAGCTAACCAAAGTACAATGATTGTCTCTTCACTGTTTTAAAGAGCTAGGTTATGTGTTTGAGTTATTGAAACTGTTTTAAGTTGCACATAGTAAAGGAAGCAGTTTGTTATGACTCTGTATTATAAAGGTAGGGCAGATGTGTGATGATTTTATAGCATAGGTTGGTTTTTGCAATGGAAATATTGTACTGTATTGTCAAATTCCATACTTTACTAGCTGATATAATGTAATGTTACCCTTACAAATGCTATTTGAAATTGCATGTCATGTAAGAATATTTTTAATTTAAGTTCGTCAAATTTTAGAAACTTGACACATAATGCAAATTGTTGTCTATTAGATTTTAGCGAATTTCCCTATAGGGAAGTAGCTATTACCGTAGGTCTCATGGTAAGACCTAAGCCTGGGACCGATTTACTTTTTCATTTTGATGTCCCTAGAGGCCAAAAACACCATTCGTTCAAATTTTTATATATCTATATATAGAGATATATATATATATATATATATATATATATATATATATATATATATATATAAATGTGTGTGTCCATCCGCACGATAACTTGAGTAATTTTTGTCCAAATTTGATAAAATTTGGTTTGAAGGTGTAAGGCGGGATAAACTTGAACGAGTTCGCGAACCAGCATGATCGGACTATGGGAACGGGGGTTTATGGGGGGTTTTATGGGGTAAAAATAGGTTTTTCCCATTTTTGACTCTAAAAACACAAAATTTCACAATTTCTTTTTAAACCATTTTGTAGAGCTTAAAAAAACAAAAAATTTAGTATATTGAAGCGTTATTATGCGCCTAATTGTTACGGAGAAAATTCAAAGAAATTGTAATTTTAAAATTCCCATGTTATTCTTATGGAGGATAAGTCAACTGTTGTAGTTTGCTTGTTATGAACATATTTTGATCGATTTTGGAAAATACTTTTATTTCTTACTAAACTATTATCATTTTATAAAAAAAATCTTTTTTACCCTCCCTGTTGCAGCAAACCTAAGTACTCGTTAAACTAATTCTATTTAAATAGGAAATAAATGTGCTATTTTTTTATGGAAGCATTTTAATGTAAATCCAATCAGGTTAATGAAAATTCGCTTAGTCTGCAGGTTTGCTGCGGCGGGGGTATTTATTATTTAAAAATTTAAATAACTATGACCAAAATACCTATGGTTAAGTATTAAAAATCTTATATACCCCCGCATTGACATCATAAATACCCAGTTTTTTACAGGTATTCTTCACGGGTTATTTTTTTAGTTTATATCACCATATTTTACTGACTATAACCTCTAAACAACAAAAGACCATTATTCGTCATTTTACATAATATCACTTGATCATTATATATTCCTTTTGTCATGAAAGATCCCATGAACTATGCAAAACGCTGCTTGTGTTTATACTTTTTTATAAATACCCACACTTTTGAATATTACCCAGCCCACATCACTACTAGGTGTGTATCATTTTAGCAAATTGCAGAAAAACTACTAACCGTAAAAGCTTTCTTGTTCTTGACCTACCTTTGTGTAATATATTCTCTAAGTCAGCTCACTTGTTATTGCGTTCACTATGCATAAGCTGTTGTGTTGTAGGTCGTACTCGTGTGATGATCAGTGGGACAAGTGAGTCAGTGAGTCCTGAGCCACAGAAGGTGTCCCCGGTGACACTGCGGGGCCAGACAGCGGGGCAGACAGGAAGCAGACCACAGAGTATGTTTGGTGGACGCTCCTTCAGTCTCAGCCCCTCTCCTTCTTCTCCAGACACCATCACAGTGTCCAACAAGCAGTGGAGTGAGCTAAACGAAAAGGTTTGAAAAATCAGAAATGTTTTTTGAAATTAGTTGAAAAATACTTGCATGAAAACATCTATTTATAAAAGATTTATTTATAAATTATCTATTTTTACCATGTCACAGAATTACTTACTAGACAAATTGGTTGGCAGTTGAGGATAAAGGCCAATTAGCTGATAAGGATTGTTATGTACAAGGATAGGGATCAGCTAGCTTACCTGGTAGACAGAGTCCAGATTTAATCAACCTACCATGTGTATATATGAGTGTGTGTGTGTGTACATAGATGTACATAGCAACAGGAATTTTCATTTCATTTTAAACAACAGTTGGCTACACTGTTGTGGAACTTTTGAATTTCAACTTAAACTGCCAGTCTTCTTTCTTCTCCCTTCTGATGAAAGTCTCTAACTGGGACGAAATATTAAGTTTTTCTGTGTTTTGTTATGAGTTTTATGTGTGTACCAAGGCTAAATCTGGACTCTGTCGACCAGGTAAGCTAGCTGATCCCTATCCTTGAACATAACAATCCTTACTAGACAAATTGCATTTTTTAAGTATTAAAATTTGTTTATATAAATTTATGTTTGCCAATAAAACTGTTTGAGGACTTTAAGTTTTATACAAAAGTACATGGCCGCTATACTTTGAGGCCATATAAATAATGCAGCAATGAAAAATATTTGTTTGGAATGCCTAGATCCTAATTGTCTAATGTATAACATTAGGTTTTCTTTTAGTCTTTCTTTGCATAAAATATCATAGGCTACTCTAGCAGTACAGTACCTCACCTCACCTATTTGGCCACTCAAACCTCAAACCTTTTTTGGCCTCGCCAACAATGCCTCGCCATCTCTCTCTGTCTTGCATCCATTGAGCCTCTGCCCCCAATCTTCTCCAGTCCTTTTCCACTTGGTCCTTCCAGCGAATTCCCTGTTAAAAACACCTTAACAATATTAAACACCTGTTAAAAATGTTTTTGTGGTATTTTGTACAATAATAACACTTTGACGTTCTAACAAAAAATACATATTCCAGGTTCAAAGGTTAGAGTCGAAACTAGAGGCTCAACAAGAGGCGTTTATCAAAGCCATCAAAGAGCTGTCTGCCAAACTTTCAGAAGAATCTGAGAAGAGGTCAGTCATGCAAGCAGAGATAGAGAAATTAACCACATTTATAACCCAAGTTTGAGACGACCAACTTGTAGGTGAATATATACATGTCACATTCCGTAAAGGTTGTTCAATTTGTATTCTACTACAGTGGTTTTTTAGTGAAAACTCATAAAGCTGTAAACATTTTTCCACGTCAATTGGAGTTTATAGTTTTCTTTTTGCTTTAAATGTGATAAAAATTTACTTTCAAGTTTCTTTAACATGTTTGCTGTGGTGGAATGTAAGTACTTTGCAAAAAACTTGAAGCTTTTTCTTTATTTAGGTAGATTATCAACATTTTTTTACATCACCAAAACCAACAATAGTTACTTGTGTTACTAGTGGGCGAAGTGGCACTTTGCTACACACGCGAGATATGTTTACCCACGAGCCATAGGCGAGTGTGGAAAGTTTCTCGAGTGCAGCAAGGCAGTTTGCACTTGTGTTACGCATTTTATTTTTCCCACAGTTACTATAAATCATATAAATAATTATTATTTATTAACTGACTATGCTATAAACCTTAGCAGTTGTATGACTTTGTCAATAATTTGTGAAAATTCTAAGGACAATAAACACATTTAATTTAATTTCATTTCAAAAGAAGAGAAAATGCGGGGTAATAGATTTTTAACCGGAGAAAATTTATATGCCACTAGCTGGCCCGATAGACGTTGTCCTTTTCTAATGTGGTTTTATGTCAAATGCTCGTTCATTTTCATGATGGGCTCGTTCACATCGCTCAATCACGTCCTGGTTGAAGTTTGTTTGCTACGCTCACTCACCTTTGTTTGGAGCTCGTTGGCTGCTCTCACTCGCCTTCAGGTTTAGCTTGTTCGCCTCCAGGTTGAAGTGAATGAGCTAATATAAAGGCAATTTTTTTTTAATTTTAAAAATCAAATTACTAAATAACGTTTGGATGGATTATACATTTCCTTATATAAAAACCTTCCCCTGGCACTAAGAAACACGACAAAAAAAAAGAATCATCCAATTCGGTGCACTCGTTCTCGAGTTATGGAATACCATTAAAAAAAGGGATTCATTTTTATTTATATAGATAGAAGAGAGAACATTTTTGCGTACCAACCAATTGAAGTTAGTATCTTTGTTTACTCAGTTACATAATAATACATGACCTATGACCTTCCTTCTAATATGACAGCTGAAAGACTGCCATGAGTTTATTAATATACATGAGGTAATTAATTAACCAAGCAAACATGTTAAATATTGAGAAAATCATTTGCCAATAAAGTTGTGTAAGTTTTAGACAATAATTTGGTTTTTTCATTCCTAAGCTGTTATATTCAATTCATAAAAAGTGTTAAAACCAATAGCTTTTATTTATCAAGGATGTGAATGAGTTTTACTGTCTCACCTTTGATGACCAAAACAGCACAAATAAGTCATATGAAGTTTTTACTGAGGAAATCCACTGCAGTGTAACAAATTATTTGTAATTTTTTAAGTAAAATTTTATATTGAAATAAATTTTGTAACACATCATTCCAATTTATGTATTAGAATTTGATAAAGCTATTGAAATGTACATAATACCTTCTGTATCCATAGTCAATGATAATACACAATTAATTACATACTATCTATACCGATACTTCTAACTTGACAATAGGGGTTTTTTTAGAAACGTAAAACTGAATACAATAAATAAATCAATGATAGAGAGAGTTGACTTTTGCACAAATAACTCATTAGGGGTTTTAATAATAATTAAGGTTGTTTTTTTATTTTAATCATTTGCTTTCAGAATAAGATTTTGTTTCGTTTCAGTGCCAAGTTGTTTAATTTTCCTTTTTTGTGTTCAAAAAAATAATTATAAGAACAATTTGATCACATTTAATTTAGAGCGTAGTATTTAGAAAATAAACAACTCATTTGCATTGTGTGTCTAATATTAATCAAATACAACGCCACTGTAGTATATTTGTAATTCAATTGTAAATATTTATACAATACTATACGTAAATGTATTTTTGGTTTAACGATTATTGTACTTATCTTTTTTTAACAAATTATTTTACCATTGTCATCAATGTTGCCATAATGTAAAGTAGCTATATTTATTTGGATTGTATAATATATCTATCTAAGGATATGGTTTTAATGTTATTTATTTTAGTATCATTTTATAATTCTTGATAGTGTAGAACCTGTATTTTTTTATAAAATGTATTTTACATTCCTCAGACTTTTTGTACATTTAGGACTGAGAGTGTTTGGTTCTAAGGCATTCTTTGTCTTTTTGGACAATTTATGACAGATTTGTAACTGATTTAGGTGACACTTACATTTTTAAAATTGCTGGAATCAATTGACTTTATCATTTATATCCATAAAACAGTTTTCAGCATTGTTTTACATCAAAATATATTAATTAATCATTTAATTTTTCATTCAAGAACATTCCATGTCCAAAGCTTTTAATTTGTATTTATATGTCTTCAAACATCAGAATGTGAATAATTTTGGTTCAACAGTTAATAATTAATTATAGAAGAAAAATTACTTATAACAGTTATGTCCAGTGGAAGTAGGTACCAGTATCTTTATAGTATGTAATGTACCATATTATAAAGATTCTTGATATCTCTCTGGAAAAAATAATGATATCTTTTAATATACATAAACCGTTGTTTTTATTAATACATCAGTGAAATACTTGAACATAAATGCACTGAAAATACCTTGTACATCAAAAATCACATTATATTACAACCTATTTGGTTTTTTTGGGTTTTTTATATTGACAAAATTATTGACTACTTCAAATAAAAATTTGGCTATTTATAACCAGATATTAATTAACCCTGGAAAGAAATGTTTTGTACTCAATGTTTTTTTTTCATGAATATTATTCAAAAACAAATATTAATTAAGGTAGGCTAATTATTTTTTTTAACCTGGATTGTAAATACTAAGATAACGCAAAATCAATTTTGTCTCATTATTTTAAACATTTACAACAATTCCTTAAAGATTTATATATCGTGGAATGGACTTGCAATATTTTCTTATGCTTAAGCCATTCAAATTTCTCCATATATTTCACCTTTAGCAGTGTAGGATCACCTAATTTAAAACATGGTGCTAATTTTGTTCCATACATTTACATAATATTGATACTGCATCACTTGATTGTATTTAATATGCGATAGTTCCATAATTTAAAGTAATGTAGTATTTAAAGCTAAATTAAACTGTGTGTTTCTTAAGCTGAAAGTACTTTTTCCATTTTATGGTGCTGTTGGTAATTTTAACAAGAGTTATGTCTTGTTAAGTTGAAGTACATTGTATGGAAATATTTATGCCTTAGATAACTTTTACCTAATAAACAATTATTTTTCTTGCCAGTAAACTTATATTAAATACTCCTTAAGTCAAAATGAAAATGTGATTGATGTGAACAAGTTTGGTTTTTTTCTAAATCAAGTCAGCAAAAAGATCATACTCCAAAAAAGGCTGTGGAGTTTCAATTTCGTATTAAGAAAATTGAAATATCATTCATTCAAGGGCTGAAAAACCTTTAAATCATTAACTGTTTTTGTTGCATTTAATATTTTAAGGAAAATATTTCATTTGGAACGCTTTTTTAAAGCTAAAGCATTTTAAGGGTATGTGCAATCAAATTGCCAAATCGATTTACATGTCAAACTGTAAGCTCAATTTAATAGTTTAAAAATAATTCTCTTAGTATATTTATTTTGTTATACGTAACATAAGAAAACCATTATTGGTTATGGAAATTGCATGTGAAAATCAACTGAAATTCCACTAGGTTATTCTACTAGTGTCCGTCCCTGAGGACCGGCTAGATATGAAACAACTTGTGTAGGATGTGGTTGTGCTTACGTGTGGGGCCTTAGAATGCTATTCTACATTTTAATTATATGTTTACTTCTAAAGGGTTTGAAATCAGTATTAAAACTGTTAAAGAAAAGTAAATAAAATGTTATGTTTTGTATCTAATGTGTTTAAATTTGTCCTTTGTGCACTTTCAGTTTTGGTCTTACAACTAAAGTGGAGATTTCTGTAATGATGGTCGATGGGATACATCTTGATGGTTCAAACGGACCCCAAAGTTGATCTCAAAACTTGTAATAACTTATGGAAAATTATTATCCCTCAAAATGATGAGCTAAGATTCCCCCCTTTCAAAAGTGTGTTCAAGTTAAAAATTAAAACGTGTAACATGCATAATTAAATTTAAATATTTATATGAATATAGTTAAAAAATTAAAATTAAATAGATAATAGCAGATTCTATTAGCAACTTTTAAAATAAATAGTACCCAGATTCAAGAACTTAAATTGTATCAATGTTTTTTTCACCTTGTATGATGCTGTATATACTCAATGGGCATTTCACCAACTTGGTCATCCTCAGGGGGTCTCCTTATGCTACTACACTAATACTATTTTCTATATATTTACCCTCGTCATCGTCACTTGTTCATAGCGACCAGGTCAATCGAGTAATGTGTCAACGGAGAACGGACACACAACAGAGTCATCTTGGCGGGATGTCTGTAGTCCTCCGTTTCATTTCTTGACTGGGAATGTTGGAATTTGGAGCGTTTGCCTGCTAAGGGTAGGGCCCTGGATTTATGGTCGGTCGGATGTTTTGATCTTATGGTTTTGTCAGTTTGTTGCTTGTTTTTTCCAGTTTTTTGTATATTAACGACGCCACTAAGCAGACTGAACGTCTGATGATGGCATGAAGATGCTGAAACGGCCGTAACAATGTTACAACTACTATGAGCTGATTGACGAAGGTAACTCTATTTATTGATTTAGTCACAAGATCAGCTCAGGGGCTAAAGAATATGGATTTTAATGAAATATTGTCTTTGTTAAAAACTGTTTAATTCAGGGCCGAACTTACCTAGGGGCGGACGGGGCGAGCGCCCGGGGCCCCCGGGCCTAGGGGGGCCCCAAAGGGGGCCCCTTGCACAGTAGTTTTTATTAATATCTTCAAACATTAATCAGACACTTACCGAATTATCTTCTTTTTTAACAGCTTTATTGTCGTTATCCTATATTTAAGGTTATTGTTAGATGAATTTTAAGGTATTACTAGGACCAAAATTCTTGACTCTAAGGGACTTTTCCTCAGGGTTGCACTGGGCCCCGCGCTTAGACCTAGTTTACACGGGCATAGCTGCTAGGCTGTGACGGACCAGTTTGAGTTTCAACTCGATAACCTACGGCCGCGGTGATCGAGTTGAAGGGGGCCCCTTCGCTTGGGACAAAAAATACAATAAATAATATGAAAACTCTTGTCCTAACGTAGAACGTAACTTGTACAATTGTATTGGGGTTAAATGGAGATTCAATTGAGATCTAATACTTTTGAAAAATAAAAACATTGTTTGAAAAATATGTTTTATTAGATGTTATTCTTTTACCTCTAAGTATATGCCATTCACGATTTTAAGGGGCAGAAGTATTATATTAACCATTCAATTAAAAGGTTTTATAAAATAGTAATTAAGTTATACGTCGAAATTCTGATCTTCAATTTAGTCGATAGAGTCAAAATCATACAGCACCAGTAGGATACAAAATCTATATAGACATTTTATGACAACTAGGGTCGTCTGATGTTAACAAAAATTACATTATTTAGGAGCGGGCGAGCGTTGTCGACTGAAATCGTAACGCTCCTTTCACACTATACGTTTTCGCTCGTACGAGTGTTAATCGTGCGGGCAGACGGTCGTGGGTCTGTTTCTTTCACACTATACGATTTGTAATCGTACGAGTAATAAATCGAAACCCCCCACTCCACCAGTACAGAGTTCATTGATACTTCAGTGGAATGTTTTGTGGAGTATGGATCGGGAGCAAATTATTGCTGCGCTAATTATTTACAGACGCAGGAAAAGAAATAAACGCCGCCGTCTGCACTGGGTACATCCCATAAATGTAAAACGTGAGGAAGTGGGTGTTGTTTAATACATTATTCAAAGATTTGAGGAACGATGAAGCCAAGTTTTTTTTAACTATTTTCGTATGTCGAAAGAATCGTTCGACGAATTGCAAAATCTAGATTCAATGCGAAGCACACTTCTTCCCAGGCTTTTCTTGTAGCAATTCTATCTTTGTAAACGTCCAATGTTTTGTCCCATAAAACAACTTTTGATTCAACAAGTGAAATTAAAACTTCAGGGTCTATTGCATCCATTTGAACTATATTAAGACAACTGAAACTAATTACAACAACTGAATAATACTATACAGTGCGCACAGGTAATTAAACTCAATAACCAAACAATTAAACTGAAAAACTAAATAAAAACTATATAGCAAAAACCCTGCGAACTGCACTCGGGGAGGGCTCCCGCACGACTAACAACCGTGTAGTTAGTTTGAAAAGGGCCATGGTCACATGGTCCACTAGCAGTAGACACAACTTATTACTCGTGCGGGAGTCGGATACCAACCGTGTGCACCTACGGTCGCTACGCGGGTGAAAATCGTACACGGTTTGTAATCGTATAATGTGAAAGGGGCCATAAGTTCCAATGCGATACAACAAATGCGACTAATAACCGCACGAGCGAAAACGTATAGTGTGAAAGGAGCGTAACGCTCCTTTCACACTATACGTTTTCGCTCGTACGAGTGTTAATCGTGCGGGCAGACGGTCGTGGGTCTGTTGATTTCACACTATACGATTTGTAATCGTACGAGTATCGAAACCTCCCACTCCACCAGTACAGAGTTCATTGATGATACTTCAGTGGAAAGTTTTGTGGAGTATGGATCGGGAACAAATTATTGCTGCGCTAATTATTTACAGACACAGGAAAAGAAATAAACGCGGCCGTCTGCACTGGGTACATCCACAGATAATATAACCCCTTATATTATCTGTGGTACATCCCATAAATGTAAGACGTGAGGAAGTGGGTGTGTTTAATACATTATTCGAAGATTTGAGGAACGATGAAGCCAAGTTTTTTTTTTAACTATTTTCGTATGTTGAAAGAATCGTTCGACGAATTGCGCAATAAGTTGAAAAGTGATCTTCAAAAAAATAATATGACGTTCAGGAACAACATTCAACCAGTTGAAATGCTGGCTGTGACTTTAAGACAACTGAAACTAATTACAACAACTGAATAATACTATAAAGTGCGCACAGGTAATTAAACTCAATAACCAAACAATTAAACTGAAAAACGAAATAAAAACTATATAGCAAAAACGCTGCGAACTGCACTCGGGGAGGGCTCCCGCACGACTAACAACCGTGTAGTGTGAAAAGGGCCATATGGTCACATGGTCCACTAGCAGTAGACACGACTATTACTCGTGCGGGAGTCGGATACCAACCGTGTGCACCTACGGTCGCTACGCGGGTCAAAATCGTACACGGTTGGTAATCGTATAATGTGAAAGGGGCCATAAGCTCCGATGCGTTACAACAAATGCGATTAATAACCGCACGAGCGAAATCGTATAGTGTGAAAGGAGCGTAAGAAAGCGCTCAACAAGCAGCTGCAACAATAAATGATAATGAGCTGATAAGGGATCCTGTCTAGTCTTGTCTGTCTCACGCACGCGCATACACATACATACAATGCCTTATCGCCAATCCAAAACAATTTAAATCACTTTAGTGTGTTTTTGGTTGACATTGTCGTACTTTTGTGTTGTATTTTATTATTAATTCTGCAAACACTACAAAGAACAAATTAATGTTGTATTGAATGTTATGTTTGTGTTGTATTAATCGATATTGAATACATTTAAACATCTTTCAGTTACTCATATAAATGGTTAGCTTGTGATTTGTTATTAGACTTGTATTGTAACATTTTACTCGTCAAGAAAAAACTCAAACTCGTTAAGTTCTTAATGGTACTTTTCATGCTAGGACTTTTAACATATTATACAAACGAGAATTCCATGCCAAAACCACTATGAAAATAAACATAAGTCATAGTTTATGGTTTTATCGTTTTAGTGCAGCCAAGAAATGTAGGAAAAGCAGGAGGTTTTAATTGCCATGTCAACGTGACCAACGTATCAGAGTAGGAAGTGACATTTATTTATAGGGAAAATAATATAACTATGTTCTAAACTTTATAATGATTAATCTATAAAAAGTAAACTTTAATGTATTGCAAAAATGTGTAAGGTACCTGCTAGGTATATTAAAATTTTATAAATACAATTACAACAAGAACAAATCATAACATAACACCGTACATTGTAGCTATTTTCACTTAAAATATTACATAAAATTAGTTTATGCAAAATACAGCATTCTAACAGGTTTACATATTAATTCACCTTGAAATTACCTATTTAAAATTAGTGTGCATGTAAATGCGTTACATTGTGTACCATATATGTTCTCGTATAATTATACTGGGGGCCCCATCGGCAAATTCGCCCGGGGCCTCTGAAGTCCTAAGTCCGGCCCTGGTTTAATTTGCACCTTTTGTACTCAATTGCTTTAAAATACTCTTACAGTATCTTCTTCTATATATATAAAAGGCAAAGCCCTCACTGACTCACTGACTTGACTCACTCACTCACTCATCACTAATTCTCCCACTTCCCATTTACCTAGGAGGCTGAAATTCGGTACACCGATTCCTTGGGCATTAAATAGGAAAACTAAGTAGTTTTTATTCTGATCAGGCTTTCGGGCTCCGCCCCAGTGGCTCTGGAGTTTCCCACGTTAACCTTATGAGTACTCATATTTAAATGGAATTAAAGAATCTTAACAGCTGTTTCAATTAAACAAGTTGGTTCTGTTCTATGATGTTCAATAGCATTAAAATTACAAGGACTACCAACAGGGTGCAGCACTATTATTTAAATTTATGACACAGCTAATTTGCAACCAAAAGGTGAGAGAGCGTAGCGAACGAACTTCAACCTGGAGGCGAGTTAGCGTAGCGAACGAGATAACCTGAAGGCAAGTGAGCGCAGCGAACGAGCTCC